CGGAGTTTCACCATGTTAGCCTTTTGAGACGGAGTCTCGCTCTGTCGCCCAGGCTGGAGTGCAGTGGCCGGATCTCAGCTCACTGCAAGCTCCGCCTCCCAGGTCTACGCCATTCTCCTGCCTCAGCCTCCGGAGTAGTTGGGACTACAGGCGCCCGCCACCTCGCCCGGCTAGTTTTTTTTTGTATTTTTTTGGTAGAGACGAGGTTTCACCATGTTAGCCAGGCTGGTCTTGATCTCCTGACCTCGTGATCCACCCGTCTCAGCCTCCCAAAGTGCTCGGCTAATTTTCTGTACTTTTAGTAGAGGTGGGGTTTCACCATGTTGGCCAGGTTGGTCTCGAACTCCTGACCTCAGATAATCCACCTGCCTCAGCTTCCCAAAGTACTGGGATCACAGGCATGAGCCACTGCACCTGGCCCTTGATGGACATTTAGATTATTTCCTTTTTTTTTTTTTTACTAACACAAATAATACTGCGAAAATAGTCTCAAGTAACTTTGCACATTTGTATCTTTTTGTGTGTGTGTAGAATAAATGTCTAAACATGCCAAATCTGTTTGTGATGGTTTTAAATAACCTCTGCAAATTATTTGATCCTTCTCCCATCAAAAGTGGAGTTTAATTCTCCTCCCTTTGAATATGGGCCAGTATTTGTACTTGTTTCTAATAAACAGAATGTGGTAGAAGTGGCACAGGGTGGCTTCTGTGGTTAGGATAGAAAAGGTGACACAGCTTCCACCTGGCTCCCTCTTTGTCAGTTCCTCATCCTTGAAACACAGCCACTTCACATTGGAGAGAAGCCCAAGCCACACGGAGGGGCCCCAGCTGGCCGCCAGACCCACCTGAGGTCACAGCCGACAGCTGGCATCAACCTCCAGCCTTGACAGTGAATGAACCTTCGGATGGCCCAGTCCCATCTCATTATTTTATACTGACATGATTTACCCTCAAAAGAAAAATGAAAGAAATACAAATTACAGCAATGTCATCTTTAGCAAGGACTGCTTGCAAGGTTGGCCCTTGGTTGGTATCCGGGAAATTGACTTGGGGAGTGTTCTGACCCTTCCCTGATAAGAACAGCTCACTGCCCCTAAACCGTGTAAACGCTGTGGTTTATGTCTTCATACTGGGAGTCCAGAATTTCGGTACATGCTAGGCAGAGGGTGCCTTTGTGACTAGCCTGCAGTAAATCCTCAGTGCCAAATCTCTAGTGAGTGTCCCTGACGATGACATTCCACACATGTTGTCCCAACACACTGCTGGGGGAAGTGAGTGCGTCCAGCGTGTGACAGGGTCTTGGACCCTCATACTCCCTTTCCTCTGGACTTGACCCATGTGCCTTTTTCCTTTGCTGATTTTGCTTCATGTCCTGTTGTCGTAATACATCATAGCCTCGAGTATCACTGTATGCTGAGTCCTGCGAGTTTTCCTAGCCAATCATCAAACCCAGGGTGGTCTTAGAGACCCCAACACCACGGCAACAAGACTACAGGGAAGCCGGCGCTTCCTGTATGTGTATACATTGCTGGTGGTACCTGCATGGACGCCATGAGAGCAACACAGCCTGTCTGTTGAAAGCCACTCAACATCCACTTCCTCTGACTCAGTAATCCCATCGGGGAATGTGTCCTGTGGCAACAATTCCACAGCAGGAAGCAGAGGCTTGAAGACACTCATCACAGCTGGTGCTAAACCTGCACAAAATCTAAATGTCCAAGAAGAGAAAAATTTGGTTAAACACATTATGGTGCATCAACTCTAAGAAACTGGCTACAATGAGATGTGTAAAGCTTATAAAGCACCTGTGGTCCCACCTACTCGGGAGGCTGAGATGGATCCCCTGAGCCCATGGAGGTGGAGGCTGCAATGAGCTATGACCATGTCTGGGCGACAAAGTTAAGACCCTGTCTCAAAAAAGAAAAAAAAAAAATTGTAAAGAGAAACATGAAAAGATGTTGCTGATACATTAAAAAAATTTTTTTTGGCCAGGCATGATGGCTCACACCTGTAATCCCAGCACTTTGGGAGGCCGAGGTGGGCAGATCACTTGAGTCAAGAGTTCAAGACAAGCCTGGCCAACATGGTGAAACCCCGTCTCTACTAAAAATACAAAAATTAGTCAAACATGGTGGCACACGTCTATAATCCCAGCTACTCAGGAGGCTGAGACGGGAGAATCACTTGAGCCCAGGAGGTGGAGGTTGTAGTGAACAGAGATCGTGCCCCACTGCACTCCAGCCTGGGTGACAGAACGAGACTACCTCTAAGTAAATTAATTAATAAATAAACAATTTTAAGCTGAGTACAAAATGGTGGGCACGTTGATAGCAACTGTACAACCAACAGTAAGACCCAAAGCAGCTACTCATAAGTGGGGGTTACAAGAGGAAGGCCGGAGCGGATTTTTCCATAGATAAATTGGGCCTTCCTTTAATGTTGCTGTTCTGAGGAACCGGGAGCTTTCTGGGGACTTGGCGGGAGCAGCTGACAAGGCAAGAATTGTGGCCCTGGATGCTTCCTCTGCGGTCACCGCCTGGTATGACGCCTCCAAGGTGTGTGCGTGTGGGAAGGAGAGAGAGGGTAGTAAAGCCAACTTGTCATCCAAAAAGCAGAGGCTTAGGGGACAAAAGGGACGGAAAATATCCCCCGCAAATTAAAAACTGCAGACACACATTTCCCCTGCCTTCATCTCCCACGCACCCGGCCCCGGGGCCGACAGGAAGTGGGCGGGGCTGGCTCGCAGGGCGGAGGCTCCTCGCGCTCTGTGAATCGCAGGTGTCCTTGCTCCCGGGCTGGTGGGGCCACCCTGTGGCTGCCTGGGCTGGAACGTTCTGCCTCGCCCAGCTGAAGGCCCTAAACTTGCTAAGCCTTTTAGGGTTGAGGAAAACCCATTAAAAGACAACTCCAGCAACCTCCCAAAGGCAAGGATTCTTGTGCTCCCCTGGAAAGTCTCATATAAAGTTAGACCACAATATGTGGGGTGTGCCCTGAGCCCTCGCTCAAGGGCACAGAGCAAGTCACTGGCAGAGCAGGGACTGGAACCCGGTGTCCTGATCCCCAGGTGAGGCCAGCCTTAGAGCTGCGGGAGGGGCAGGGCGGCGTGGGTCCTCCCAGGCTGGGGCTTACTGAGGCGCACCCAGAGTGAATTTGGATGTTTTTCCAGGGATAAGGACATGTGAAAAGAGACTGGCAGTGACTGACCTGGACTGGCAGGTGAGGTTTTTTTTTTCCCCTCAACATTTTATTTTGAAAATTTTCAGACACACAGAGAAGTTGAAAGAATGGCAGGGCAGACACCCAGCATATGCCCGCCCATATGCCCACCACCTAGATTCTACAGTTACGTTGTATTGTATTTACTTTGTCACCCATCAGTCCAGCCCTCTATCAACTCTCGGTGTGAAATGGTTTTTAAATTATATTTTAATTTTTAAGAACCAATCTCCAGCCGGGCGCCGTGGCTCACACCTGTGATCCAAGCGCTTTGGGAAGCCAAGGTGGGTGGATCACCTGAGGTCAGGAGTTCGAGACCAGCCTGGCCAACATGGTGAACCCCTGTCTCTACTAAAAATACAAAAGAAATTAGCTGGGTGTGGCAGTGCACACCTGTATTCCTAGCTACTCAGGAAGCTGAGGCAGGAGAATCGCTTGAACCTGGGAGGCAGAGATTGCAGTGAGCCAAGATTGCACCACTGCAGTCCAGCCCCAGTAACAGAGTGAGACTCCGTCTAAAAAAAAAAAACTCAGTGGAAATATTTAGCCTCTACATACATCAGGAACTCGATCAGTCGTGATGGTTTGTTGCAGATGCCCTTGCTGGCCTTTTTTATCCTGGTCCCTGTGTCTAGAGCCTGTGGCCAGGGCTGGAGGTATCTGAGCAAACTGCACGGCTGTTCCCAGCTGCTCAGGGCCACAGCCTGTGGTCAGCCTGACAAAGCCTCCCAGGACACATTGTCCTCTCTAAAGACACTTACGGGGTGTCTTTAGAACCCCCCTTCTAGGGGTTCAGGGAAGTCAGCCGCTGCTCCTTGGGCATGGCAGGAACCTGTCATCGTGGTGCAGGGAACACAGACACCTCCATGGGAGCAGCACTCAGAAAAGCCTGGCCCGGGGTCCCAGCACACGGCGGCCCACCCTGCCACCCTCCTGCTGTGCTCATCTTTACCAGGAAAATTTAAGTCACTAGATGCCAGCCTGTGTCATCCCAGCTCTGAGGGAGGAACAGAGGAGAGATAGAGTCCCAGGCTTGCAGCTCTGATTTTAGATTAATGTTTTCCCAAAAGGTCACACCCCTCAGCTCCATCCTCATGTAAGTGTGGGAAGAAAAAGCTGGCAGCTCTTTCTGGCCTGGCTCTCAGCCCTGTCTTCTCCACGCCAGCCCTCCACCTGAGCCCGGTAGGGGCTTCATTGCCATTGCTTACCCACACCATGGCAATGGTGACCTCACCTGTTTCTTACCCCTTTCCTGATGGTTCTGGTCCCTGCAGTTCCCTTGGGGCTCACAGCCCATCAGTATCTCCCCACTGGGTACAGGATACAGTGGAAAACACCCCGGGGCTTGCCCCCATGTGCCCTGCCACCCCCGTCCTTGTCTCCTCCCCCACATCTCCTAAAATGCCAGGCTCTCTCTTGCATCCAAGCTTTTGTGGTCACCCCAGTTTTTCTACCTGGCAAGTCCTTTCACCTGTGAAGTCCCAACTCCTTGCTGCCTCCCTCATAGAAGCAGAATCCAGCAGGGGCACACAGGACTGGCCACAGTGCGAGCTCAGTGGTTCACTGGCTGCCCTGCTGCCCTGCAGCCCAGGCACTCTGCGCAGGCCTCTATTCATCAGGGTTTTGTCTACACTTAGCTCTTCCTGTACAAAGCTAGGAAGCAGCGGCCCAGCTGAATGGACCCACAGAGAAGCTGCGTGGAAGGAACTGTGAATCTGCCAGTACCTACCCGAACGGCACGAAACCCAGAGAACCACCAGCGCCTACCAGAACAGCACGAAACCCAGAGAACCGGAAGCAGAGAGTGCAGGAGGCAGAAGTGATGAGAGCAGCGGGCATCCCTGGAGCTCAGCTGAGCCAGACCAGGAAAGGCTGCCACGGACGGAGCCTGGCTGCACCCAGTTAGAACAGAAACAGGGATGAGGGTTCGGACCGTGAGCCCCTCAGGTTCTCACTGTTCCCTTCAGCTGGTGACTGTGTGACCGTGAGCGGTCACTTAATCTTGCCGGTAAGGGCCTCAGTTTCCTCATCTGTAGAATGGCATTGGAAAGGCATGGCTGGGAGGTCTCAGACATAAAGCAGAGTGCTGTGTGAACCTCCGGGTTTACAGACAGAGCGGATGTTCCTAGTGCATTGCACTCATTTTCCCTCGGCCGACAGAAGCTCATGACCTCCGCCATTGTTCCCAAACAAGCAGGAAGCTTCACACTGCCTGATCCACAATTCCCAGAGCGCCCTCAGGGCCACCATCTCGTGCAAGCCTCGCAGCATCCACGAGGGGGCAGCACAGGACTATCATCGCCCCATGGCCTGAAGGCGGCTGCCGGAAGCCAAGTGCGATAATGGTGGGGATGGCCCCCAGGAGCCCGGGCTTCGCTCCCTCCTCCTCCCCTACCCTGTGCGGAGGACTCCGGCCTCGGGGTAGGGGGCTGATGAATTGGGCGTGGCATCTACTCAAGAACTCTGCCCACCCCCCCGCCCTAGGGCTCAGATACACACACGCACACACACGCACACACACATGCACACACGGGGCCCGCCCCTTTCCTGGGAGCTGCCCGTTCCCAGGACAACAGTCAACACAGGCGGGAGTTCAAAACAAAACTGGGCTCAGATGCTCTCCCCATCGGCCACTCTGAGTTCGAGGCCTAAAGCGACAATGAGGAGGACCCTGGCCAGGCTGTCCCGGGGTTAGGAGGGAGAGAGTGTTCCAGGAGGAGGTTTGAGCTGATCTCAGGCACAGGAGTCTTTCTCTCTCTCTCTCTCTCTCTCTCTGTGTGTGTGTGTGTGATTGTGTGTGTGTGACACACACACACACACTTGCACCCATGGGGAGCCACCCCACCCCTGGGCTCCAGAGAACCACATCACCTGGGTACCGATTGTCTCCCACCAGGCCGCCAACCTCTGTCTCCCCAGCTGCCCGGATTGGCCCTATGGCCAGCAGGGGTCTTGCTGGTGGCTGTCAGGCCCCCCAGGCTCTGAAGGCGCAGCGGGTGGCCCAGGGAGCTGCCTGCGGTGGCGGTGGCGTGCAGCAGGACCAGCTGTGGCGGGAGCTCCTGGAGGCCGAGCGTCAGGGCCAGCGGCGCTGGTGAGTCCCTGCCCTCCCTTTTCCACCCTGACCCCCGCAGCCTGACTACAAGTTGGGGAAACTTTTGAAGAAAGGGAGATGGGTGGGCAGCTGATCCGGGCTGAGGGACAGAGAGCATGGCATGCCCGGGGATGGGGGAGGTGGGTCACCAGCCCAGCCCAGAGCCAGACCCGAGCCTGAGCCTAGGAAGCCAGGAAGATGGAGGCCAGGATCAGATGCCGCTGGGTCCGAGCAGCCCCACCTCCCTGGAGCAGGAGCCTGCTGGCCTAGTCTGGGTGAGAGGCGCTGGCCATCTGACCTGACTCTGGGAAAGATGCTCCTTCATGCCTTCATTCAACCAAAAATCCCCATGAGCCGCTCTGAAATGAGACCAGATGCAACAAGGGACTGGACAGACCTGGCCATGGCTCCACCGAGCCTTCATACTCCAGACAGGGCAGCCAAAAAGCAAGCAGAAAAGCAAACAAGTACAAATCTGTAAGAAGTGTGACCAGTGGTAAGAAGGAAACAGTTCAGGGTTAGGGGGAGAGCCGGCTGAAGGCCTCTCTGAGGAGACTTTTAAGCTGAGACATGAAACAGGAGAAGGAGCCAAGAGTTTGACGTATCTAAAAACAAAACAAAGAATTCTTGTAGCTGAGGCGCAGGGAGTGAGGAAGGCCACAGGATAAGGGGGAGCAGCCGGGGGGTGGCCACCCCAGCCCTCGTAAAAGTCTGGATGCGTTTTTTCCAAAGGAGACACCATCCAGGATTTTAAGCAAGAACATGGCATGATCTTTAAGCAAGAAAATGACATTTTTAAATGAGCAGCCTGATAGATTCTAGGAAGCACTCATCTTGCACCGCTGAAACTTCATACCGGTGGATTAGCAACGCCCCATTCCCCCTCCTCCCAGCCTCTCTGGCACCCACCATTCTAGTCTTTGCTCCCAGGAGTCTATTTTCAGTGCCTCATAGAAGTGGAATTGTGCAATATTTGACTTTCCATGTCCGTCTTGTTAGCTTAGCATCCTGTCCTCCAGGTTCATCCATCTTGTCGCATATTACGGAATTCCTCCCATGCTAAGGCTGAATGTATATATGTGCAGTTTCTTTATTCATTTGTCAATGGACTTTACGTTGCTTCCACATTTGACTGTTATATGTATTGCTACAATGGACATGGGAGTGGTTTCAATTCTTTTGGATGAATTCTCAAAAATGGATGTCTTAGTCCATTTTGCATTGCTGTCAAGGAACACCTGAGGCTGGGTAATTTATAAATAAGTTTATTTGGCTCACAGTTCTGCAGGCTGTACAAGCATAGTCTTGGAATCCGCTTGGCTTCTGGTGAGGGTCTCAGGAAGCTTACAATAATGGCAGAAGGTGAAGGAGGAGCAGGCGTGTCGCATGGTAAGAGAGGGACCCAGAGAGAGAAGGGGAGGTGTCAGGCTCTTTTTAACAACCAGCTCTCTCCTGTGAACTAATAGCGCAAGAGCTCATTCATTACCGCAAGGAAGGCACCACGCCAGTCACGACCCAAACACCTCCCACTGGGCCCTACCTTCAACACTCAGGATCACATTTCAATATGAGATTTGGAGAGAACAAACACTCAAACCGTACTGGAGGGATTGCAGGATTATATGCTACCTCTATTTTTAATTTTGTGAGGAACCTCCATTGTCTTTTCCATAGCAGTGGCACCATTTTGCATTCCCATGAGCAGTATCTCAGCATTCCAGTTTCTCCACACAATGGCCAACACTCATTGATTGTCTTTTGGTTTTTGATAACAACCATTCTAATAGGTGTGAGGTGGTATCTCATTGTGATTTTTTGTTTTGTTTTGTTTTGAGATGGAGTCTCACTCTGTCACCCAGGCTGGAGTGCAGTGGCGCGATCTCGGCTCACTCTAACCTCTGCCTCCCAGGTTCAAGCAATTCTCCTGCCTCAGCCTCCCAAGTAGCTGGGATGACAGATGCCCTCCACTATTCCTGGCTAATTTTTGTACTTTTATTAGAGACAGGTTTTTACCATGTTGGCCAGGCTGGTCTTTTTTTTTATTTTATTTTATTTTATTTTATTTTTGAGACGGAGTCTTGCTCTGTCACCCATGCTGGAGTGCAGTGGTGCGATCTCAGCTCACTGCAAGCTCCGGCCAGGCTGGTCTTGAACTCCTGACAGCAGATGATCCACACGCCTCAGCCTCCCAAAGTGTTGGGACTACAGGTATGAGCCACCGTGTTTGACCTCTGTGGTTTTGATTTGCATTTCTCTGATGATGAGTGACATTGATAATCTTTTCTTATATTTATTGGCCATTTATTTATCTTCTTTGGAGAAATGTCTATGCAAGTCTTTAACCCATTTTTTCAATTGGGTTATTTGGTTTTGTGCTACTAAGTTGTAGAAGTTCCTTATACATTTTGGAAATTAACTCCTTATCAGAAATATGATCTGTAAATGTTGTCTCCCATTCTGTGTGTTGCCTTTTCACTTTGTTGCTTGTTTCCTTTGCTCTTTAGAAGTTTTTGAGTTTGATGTAATCCCATCTGTCTATCTGCTTTTGTTTCCTGGCCTTTGTGTGGCATATCCATGGAATAATTGCCAAGCCCAATGTTATGAAGCTTCCTCCTATGTTTTTGAGTGGATTGGTATGTATCATGTTAGAAAGGATCCAATTTCATTCTTTTGCATGTGAAAAACTTCTGCACAGCAAAGGCAACAATTAACAGGGTGAAAAGGCAACAATTAACAGTGAAAAGGCAACCTACAGAATGACAGAAAGTATTTACAAACTGAGTAAATGTGGGAGGAAAGGTGAGGAAGGAATAAAGGATGACAGGTCTCAGCTTGAATAATTAATAGGGAGGAGAAGATAAATGATGAAGATGCTGAGTTCTGGTGAGTTTTAAATGCCCGAACCACGTCTAGACGGAGCTGCCAGGAGGTAGTTGAGTGTGAGAGTGAGGAGTTGCGCATTAAAAACCTATCCAGAAGGGGAGAATGAGGACTGACTGCGAATGGACACAAGGTGTTTTGTGGGTGATGAAATGTTCTGGAATCAGAAAGTGGTGATGGTTGCCCAACTCCATGAATAAAGTCATTGAATTGTGTGCTTTAAAAAGTGAAGCTTATGGAATGCGAATTCTATCTCAGTTTTAGCAGGAAACGGGTGGGCACTGGCCCCAGCGATGTGAATAAGCTCTCCCCGGAAGAGCACAATGGATCAGAAGAGGCAAGGATGCAGGACAGAACTTGCAACGTTTACTAGAAAGGCAGAGATGCTGCCAGGAAACACCAGAGAAGAAAGCCAGGGGCATAAAGACGTGTAAAGACCAAGGGGAAAGAGTTTTGCAAGGACTGGAAAGCCCAAAGAGGAATGTGTAAGGCAGTGCTTCCTGACAGAAATACAATGTGAGCCAGACACATAGCTTAAATGTTCTAGTGCTGCTTTGAAAAATGAAACAAGAGGTTGGGAACAATGGCTCACACCTGTAATCCCAGCACTTTGGGAAGCTGAGGCAGGCAGATCACCTGAAATCAGGAGTTCGAGACCAGCCTCGCCAACATGGTGAAACCCCATCTCTACTAAAAATACAAAAACTAGCCAGGCATGATGGCATGCACTTGTAATTCCAGCTACTCAGGAGGCCGAGGCAGGCAGAGTTGCTTGAACCCGGGAGGCAGAGGCTGCAGTCAGCTAAGATTGTGCCACTGCACTCCAGCCTGGGCGACAGAGTGAGACTCCATCTCAAAAAAACCAAAAAACAAAAAGAACTTGTAGCAATAAAAATATATAAAGTTGAAATATAAGACACAACTGAAGTCAGACTTCATAAACTCAAGACAGGAGAAATTTTTCAGAAAATCAAGACAGAAAACACAAATGACGAATTAAAAATGTAGAGAAATTGAACAAGAAGCTCCAACCTATCCTTAATCAAAACTCCCAAAGGAGAGAATGAGAGAGAGAAAATGTCTAAAGAGAAAGTAAGTGAGAATTTTCCAGAAACGAAGAAATGCAGGAGTCCACAGATACTAGAGTAGGTGCTCCACAAAAACAGGTGCATTAACAAGAAAATAAGACATGGAATTCCCAAAGAGGGGGATGCCAGCGTGTTGGTGAAGGAAGGGAAGAGCCTGTGATCTTGAGTCACGGCCAGGCCAGTGGGAGCAGGAGGACACGGGGCTTCCGAGGAGGCTAAGAAAGGTTTTAAAGGAATGTTTATTATCTGATGCACATGACAGTGTAGAAAATAATATTGAGAGGGACTTTTCAGTTTTGTTGGAAATCTGGAATCAATGATCAGTACATAGAAGCCTAAAAAAAATTGGGAGGAAATGTAATTTCTCTGTTAGCTCTAGAAAGAATACAAGGTTGTACAAGAACAGAATTGGGGTATATTGCACTCCTTAGTTCATCAGGGAATAACATTTACATAACCATAAGAATCAAAATGACATATATCAATTTAACCAAGATCTGTAATGATTTTGAAAGAACAAAGGGAAGGGCAGGAGTAAGAATGCTAACTCTTCATCTCCTATAATAGAAAGTTGATAGATAAGTTTAAATTTTAGAAAATATTAAGGAACAGCAGTGGATATGGTTTGGATCTGTGTCCCCACCCAAATCACATGCTGAATTGTAATCCCCAGTGTTGGAGGTGGGGCCCAGTGGAAGGCGACTGGATGATGGGGTCGGTTTCTCATAAATGGTCTAAACCATCCCCATGGTGCTGTCCTCACAGTAGGGAGTTCTCACCAGATTTGGTTCTTTTAAAGTGTGTGGCACTTCCCTTCTCTCTCTCTTGCTCCTGCTCTGGCCATGTGACCTGCCTGCTGCCACTTTGCCTTCCACCATGATTGTAAGTTTCCTAAGACAGACCCAGAAGCTAAGCAGATGCCAGCATCCTGCTTCCTGTACAGCCTGTGGAACTGTGAGCTGATTACACCTCCTTTATTTTTATTTATTTATTTTTTTCAGATGGAGTCTCACTTTGTCGCCCAGGTTGGAGTACAGTGGCTCGATCTCTGCTTACTGCAACCTCCACCTCCCGGGCTCAAGCAATTCTCCTGCCTCAGCCTCTCTAGTAGCTGGGATTACAGGAGCCCGCCACCATGCCTGGCTAGTTTTGTATTCTTGGTAGAGACACGGTTTCACTATGTTGGCCAGGCTGGTCTTGAACTCCTGACCTCAGGTGATCCACCCACCTCGGGCTCCCAAAGTGCTGGGATTACAGGAGTGAGCCACCGTGCCTAGCCTACACCTTCTTTATAAATTACCCAGTCTCAGGTATTCTTTATAGCAAGGCAAGAATGGCGTAATACAGCAGTAGAATCCTATTATTTCAAAATACGGACGCAAAGGCCTGAAGAAACAGCTAAAAGGCTGGCAAAGGTTTGATGCTAAGATGTGAGGCTCAGGGGCTGTGAGGAGGGGGACAGAGAAGGCTGTTTTTATTATGTTTTGTAGAATTGTTTGACTTTTTAAAATTAGATTCAAATAAAACTAAATGACCAGTGCAAGGTAATACTATCCTTACGGTCCCTCCCTTTTCCTCCCCCCCCCCCCCCCCCCCAGCCTTCCTCTGTCACTCACATTGGAAGGTTACAAAGGTTTGGGGACGTGAAAACTTTTTTCTTCAAAGAATGCTTGCCTACTGTAGCCTTCTGAAAATGCACAGAGGCAGGGTGAGATTGTAGCCTTTGCTTCCTTAGGCAGCCCTCCATAGCAACATCATAGTTGTCATTCTAGGAAAAGTCATTGGAAATTGAAATGTTTGTTCTTTTGGTGGGATACACCATCAATACCTGCTTGGCACTTGGCATTTGTTTCACTTAAAAATTATTTTGTTCTGGCTGGGCATGGCGGCTCATGCCTGTAATCCCAGCACTTTGGGAGGCAGAGGTGGGTGAACCACCTAAGGTCAGGAATTCAAGACCAGCCTGACAAATATGTTGAAACCCCATCTCCACTAACAATACAAAAATTAGCCGGGTGTGGTGGCACACATCTGTAGTCTCAGCTACTTGGGAGGCTGAGACAGGAGAATTGCTTGAACCTGGGAGGCAGAGGTTGCAGTGAACTGAGATTGCGCCACTGCATTTCAGCCTAGGTAACAGAGCGAGACTCCCTCTCAAAAAAAAAAAAAAAAATTATTTAGTTCTTCCATGTGATACATTGTTGCATTGACTTGACACAATGAAAGTCATTGGTAAAAATGTCCTGGAAGGAACTCACACAGTCAACATGCTTTTCCTTTCCAGGGTTCAGAACTGGAGTTTCCTGAAAGACTATGACCCAATGGTAAGGAAAAATATGTTCCTGCCAAACATACTTGCGATTGAATATTATTCATTCTTTCCATCATTCAACTGACATTTATTGAAGATCTACTCTGGACTAGATGCTGGATGTGCAGAGATGAGTAAAATACACTCTTGTTTCAAGGAATTGCATTGCTTGGGTCCATTAGAAAGAAAAGTTATATGAAGCATTTAGAAATTTGTTTCCTTCAGTGTTTCTTAGTTTTATTAAGATGAACCAATTAGAAATGACAGGCATCTGTTGCTGAAATGTCTCCCCTGACTGAGGATGTCAGCAATGTGTAGTCATATCTGTGTGGCGTGCCCAAGAAGGGCAATGAGATTGGGTAAAAATACTTTGTAAACAAATTCCCTGACTCTAGTATCACCACCTGCAATCTATCCTCCACTTCGCCACCACACTGATTTCCCTAAATGGCAGAACTGGCCGTGTAGCTCCCCTGATTAAAATGCTTCAGTAACTCTGAAGTTTTCAGGTAGCTTACAAAGCCTCCTGTGATCTAAACTATCTATCTCCCCAGCCTCATTACCCACCCCACGCAGAGCTCACAACACACTTTTTTTTTTTTTTTTTTTAAGATGGAGTCTCACTCTGTTGCCCAGGCTGGAGTGCAGTGGTGCAATGTCAGCTCACAGCAACCTGCACCTCCTGGATTCTAGCGATTCTCCTGCCTCAGCCTCCTGAGTAGCTGAGATTATAGGTGCACACCACCATGCCTGGCTAATATTTGTGTTTTTAGTAGAGAGGGGGTTTCACTATGTTAGCCAGGCTGGTCTCGAACTCCTGACCTCAATTATCCAACTGCCTTGGCCTCCCAAAGTGCTGGGATTACAGGCATGAGCCACCACACTCAGCCCCCACAACACTCTTTTATCCATGCCTTTGGGCATGCTGGTCCCCTGCTGGAATGTCCTTCCCACCTGGTCAGCCTGATGGACTCCTATTCACTCTTCAAGACCCTGCTCTAGTGCCTCCCTTTCTGGGGAATCTCCCCTTCCTGGGTAGGCTTGACCAGATCACTCCTTCCTTTGATTCACCAGCATATCTCACCCATTATTTTGGTATTCTATGTAATGTAATACTGCAATGCTCAATTTCACCAGCTGTGAACTCCTTAAGAGAAAGGATGAGGCCAGGAATGATAGCCCATGACTGTAATCCCCGCACTTGGGGAGGCTGAGGTGGGAGGATCACCTGGACCTATGAGTTCAAGACCAGCCTGGGCAACATAGGGAGACCCTGTCTCTACAAAAAATAACATTATTTTTTAAAAAGAGAAAAGATGAATATGAATTCATCACTGCACCCTATCACAACCCTAGCATTTGCCCCATCCCCCAGAAACCATAAAAAAGTGAACATTCAGTTCATGCTGGATGAATGAGTGAATGAAAAGATGGATCTCACTATTAAAAGGATGGTCAGCCAGGCGTGGTGGCTCACACCTGTAATCTCAATACTTTGAGAGGCCAAGGCAGGTGGATCACCTGAGGTTGGGAGTTCAAGACCAGCCTAACCAATATGGAGAAACCCCATCTCTACTAAAAATACAAAAATTAGCCAGGTGTTGTGGTGCATGCCTGTCATTCCAGCTACTTGGGAGGCTGAGGAAGCAGAATCGCTTGAACCTGGGAGGCGGAGGTTGCAGTGAGCCGAGATGGCACCATTGCCCTCCAGCCTGGGCAACAAGAGCGAAACTCCATCTCAAAAAAAAAAAAAAAAAAAAAAGATGGTCAAAGGACCAACCTGGAAGATAAGCAATGTGGACAGTCACTCGAGGAGGGTGGCCATGCTTACCTGGACCCTGCCAGGTTGAGGAAAGGTTTAATGCCTGCATTGTGGACCTGCTGGGCTTGTTGCTGTCTATTCTGGAGGGAAAATTCAGCTCATGGGACCTGATATCCCGCCCTGTGCGTCTGGTCTGGGCTTCCAGCCCGTAAGAGTCTCTCCCTCCTAAGGGCTATGTGATAGCAACCTGACCACTGAAATCTGCATCATGACCAGAGGGTGGAGCCCCCTCAGCATGGACTTCGCCAGGTGAAAGCCAGGCTCTCCTTACTTGCCAGGTCATGTCACTTCTCTTAGACACAGGGTAGCAGAAAGGTAACCCTAAACAGGGGCGGGAAGAGCTGAGGATGTTTTCCCGCTTGTCAGATTTTTTTTTTTTTCCCCAAGACGTGGTCTCACTGTCTCCCAGGCTGGACTATAGTAGCATGATCATGGCTCACTGCAGCCTCAACCTCCTAGGCTCAAGTGGTCCTCCCACCTCAGCCTCCTGAGTAGCTGGGGCTACGTGCATGCGCCACCACACCCAACTAATTTTTGTATTCTGAGAGAAAGAAGCCAGACAGGAAAGCCATGATTTCACTAATGTAAAGTTCAAAACCAGGCAAAGCTAATGTGTGGCATTAGAGGTCAAGGTCAGGTTGCCTTGGGAGCAGAGACAGGGGTTGAGGGGCTGAAAGGAGGCAGGGGAGGGGATCATACCCCTTGATCTGGTTGGGTACATGGGCATCTTCACTTTGTGAACATGTGCCAAGCTGGACAGTGAAGGCTTGTGCACTTTTCTGTGTGAATGCTATACTCTAAGTACAAATTTACCAAAAAACAAAACCAAAAATCAAAACCTCCCACCAGATGTAAAACGGCATCTTAGTCCTGGGGTAAAAAGGGGAATGAGATCTGATCGTTCGCTTGATCTCTGCAGGTCGCAGCATAAAAGTTAAGGGATCTGGGAGGCACCTGGGGAAGGGGAAGGGGAGGAAGAGGAGGGACAAACTTGGCAGAGGCTGTGGCATCGGGTCACTTTTGGGGGATCCCAAGTCCAAACCAGGATTGAATCACCTGGAGATGCTTCACACAGAGAGGCCCCTGCTCTCTGCTCTGTTTTCTCCCATCCTAAGGTCCTCCTTTTTCCACGCTCTGTGTAACCCGAGCTGTCCCCTCTCCTCAGGGCAACAAGAAGGAGCCTGAGAAGTTGCCAGACCATGTGCCTCTCTTTTCGGACACAGTTCCCAGTTCCACAAACCAGCTTGTGGGTAGCAGGCTGGACACGCCCCTGGGACAGACTCTCATCCGCATGGACTTCTTCTTCACAGAAGGGGTCCGGAAGAAGAAGCTGGAGGATGAGATGCAGCCCATCTAGGAGCAAGGAGGGCTGGGCTGGCCTTCCCCAGGTGAGTGTGGGTGGGGACAAGAGATCCGGCCCACGACAGCACCAGTCAGCAACCCACACAAGGCAGCTTGGGTCTGCACTGTCTCTAAGCTGCAGGACGCTCTTCCGGTGGGCTCCATGGGGTCACTCTTACACACTTTTTACACGTGAGATTCAGAGGACTCAGTAACTGGCCCACGGCCATACAACCCCCAGCCTTTCCATCTTGAGAACCCATGGGTGCCCCATGAAAGGGACCCTGCATTGTGGTCAGGAGCACTGAATGCCTGGGTTCAAATCCAGCTCCTGGCTCGATGAGCTGTGGGACCTTGAGCTGGCTGCTGCAACACTCTGTGCCTCCGTCTCCCCTCCTGCGATTCGGTGTGTTCTCTGCTTGCAGCTACTGTGACAAGTGACCACAAACTGCATAGCTTAAAACAACACAAATGTATCATCTTACAGCTCTGAAGATCACAACCCTGACATGGGTGTCATTGGGCCAAAATCGACATGTTGCAGAGCTGTGCTTTTAGGAGGATCTGGGGAAGAATCTATTTCCACATTTTTTCCAGTTTCTCAAGGCAGCCTGCATTCTTTAGCTTGCAGCTCCTTACTCCATCTTCAAAGCCAGCATCCTAGCATCTTCAAATCAGTCTCTATCGCTCGCTCTCTCCTGCCTCACTCCTTCATCTTTTCTCTCTCTCTTTTTTTTTTTTTTCCAGACGGAGACTCCCATTATCACCTGGGCTGCAGTGCAATGGCATGATCTTGGCTCACCGCATCCTCTGCCTCCTAGGTCCAAGCAATTCTCCTGCCTCTGCCTCCTGGGTAGCTGGGATTACAGGCATGTGCCACCATGCCCGGCTAATTTTTTGTATTTTTAGTAGAGACGGGGTTTCTCCATGTTGGTCAGGCTGGTCTTGAACTCCCAACCTCAGGTGATCCGCCTGCCTTGGCCTCCCAAAGTGCTGGGATTATAGGTGTGAGCCACCGCGCCTAGCCATACCTGGCTAATTTTTGAAATTTTATGTAGAGATAGGGTCTCACTAGGTTGTCCAGGCTGGTCTTGAACTTTTGGGCTCAAATGATCCTCCCACCTTGGCCTTCCAAAGCACTGGGATTACAGGCATCTGGCTTCACTCCTCCATCTTTTAAGGACCCTTGTGATTATATCACAACTTTCATATTTAAGCAAAAAATGCAGAAAAGGCTTAGTTCCTCTTTGTTGGTTAAAACACAAATGGATTCTTTCTTCAAACATCCGCATTCTCCTCTTCTTCCTGGGCGCTCTGCTAGGCTGTGCTTTCCCTTGGTTTGGGTGGAGCATGTGACAGAGCCATGGCCAGTGGAATGGGAGCAAAAACCCTAGGTCTCCCTTCCAGGTCTGGTCCATGAGACACTCCAGGTATTGGCTTGTTCTCCTTTCCCCATCAGCTGAAGAAGGGAGAGGACTTGGAGGATGCAGGGAAAAGATGGGCACAAGATGGAGGGAGCATGTCAGGCCCACGCCTGGAGCCCTGAGTGAGCTCGTGGAGCAGAATCTCCCTACACCCACACTGACACACAAACAAAATAAACAAAAACGGACCAAAACAAAAACAATAGCCCACACTTCTAGGGTAAAGCATTTTAAATGTATTTTCTCAACAACCTAAGGGAATCAACAGGCAGGGATTTCATATTCATTTAATACAGGCAAAACCTGAGATTCAGAGAGGTGAAATAAAATCCCAAACATACATTAATGCCAGGCCTCAAGCTTGAAGCCCAGTGTCCTCTGCAGGACCCCAGCCATGGCCTCCAGAAAAGAGAGAAAATGGGGCAGGGGCTGAAATGACTGCTCTGTCTTTGATGCTTGCTTGGGTCTTATTTGGCAGTAGCTAAATGTCACTGTTATTTGCATGTATTAACTCATTTAATCCTCTCAGCAACCCTACGAGATAGATACTCCTATAAATGAAGCAACTAAAGCACAGAGAGGTTAAGTCATTTGCCCAAGGTCACACAGCTGGCAAGTGGTGAAGCTGGGGTTCAGACTTGGAAGTTGAGCCTGGCTCCAAGGACTATATACTTAAGCACTATGCTATATGGGTCCTCTTTAATCCTCAATAAATTGATTCCCCAAAATTTAGCAAATTACAGGATTTTTCTGCTTAAAGAAAGTCACTTGATCCTTGAGAAAGGGAAAACTGATTTTTCCAATCTCTGGGATCCCTACTACCACCAAAAATAGATCATCGGTATTTCCAGGAGTTACACAGGACATGACACGTTATTTCCATGCAACAGCCCCTACGCCTCATGCCACACCCTGGCCCTGCGCCACTGTGTGATGGAGCAGACCAGGCCCAATGTGACTTGGCCAGGAAGACGCCCAACCCTTCCTACTTGGATCTGGAGGCCACCGCCTTCTTTCTCAGTGTCTGACATGGAAGCTGGGCTCCCTCTCCACTTTGAGATCATCAGCTGGGCAAAGGTCAGTGGCCAGGACAGCTAGGGGTCCTGGTCACATCCTGGCAGCATCCCTGAAGGTCAAGTGCTCGCCCTCGGGCTGGGCGGGTACAAAGATGCTGGAGGCTCCTTAAAGACCTAATCTATGTTTTTGCCCTGAGTCTGCCTTATATTATTCTCACACTCAAAATCAAGATTTCCACTTGAGGGAGAGAGAGGCACTAGAAAAGTCAAGGTTAAGGATGGCTGCAGGTGGTCAGGCCTGTGCAGAGGGGAGGGAATCGTTAAGTGCCCAGGAGGGCAGTGAGGAGGGCCACGGACCTGTGCCGGTTCTGCTACTCCTGGAAGCACAGCCACTTACAGACAATGTAACCTATAAGCACAGACTCTGGGCTTGGCACATTACCAACATTGTGTCTTTTGCATGTATTATAATTGTCACCATTTGAGAGGTTTGGAAACTAAGCCAAAGACTTCATTCAATCTGGTCAGGGTCTCACAACTAGTGAAGGGCCAGGATCCATCTCATGTGTGACTACTCCATGCTGCCTTCCCCGCTCCAGGCCTCAGTCTCCACAGTTATAAAATGAGGGGAGGAGGGAAGAAGACAGATTTAAGGGCATCTCCAGCTCCAGGATTCTCTTCTTTGAGCATTCAGGGAGTACTGAAGAAAAAAGGGGTTTGAGTTCTTTCACAGAGTGCATTAGTCAGCTATGATAATGCTGTATAACAAAACATCCCCTTTGTTGCTCACAGGTCTGCATGTAGCTGGGGCTCAGGTGATTTTGGCTGGACTTGGCTAGACTTTCCTCCACACTTCAGGTTAGGTTCAAGTATTTTGTGCATGTCTCTCATTCTCTTGGACTGAAAGCCTCCTGGGGCATGTTTTTCTCATGGCACATCACCAGGGCTCAAGGGCTCAACAGAACCGCAGGCACGCCGAAGGCTTCTGCATGCAGAAATGCTTTCTGTACTCTGCAATGACCTGTCATCACGCCAAAACCCTCCTCACAACCAGGCCCACCCACCCTCTGCTCCTTGCCACATCTGCCTTCTTTTCAAGAAGATGCCTGCTTCTAACCTTCCCCATTTCACCCACTGGGAGCCCAGGAAACCAGGACAGAGGGGCATCTGCAGTGAAATCCCAACACCAGCCTTTCAGCTCTTTTGGGCCAGAACAAGGGAGGGAGGATGGGCTAGGAGGTCACGAAGAACTGGGCACCAAGCCTGCAGTGTCAGTGCCAGCAAAAGGAAAAGGGGGTGTTACCAATAAAGAAATGGGCACTTGGAGACCAAGGACCAGAAGACAGCTGGGCTTCAGGAAAAGGACTGGAATCAAGAGCTGAGAGCCGTAACGAGACTGGAGGGACACTTGCTTCACTTTTTTTTTTTCTTTTTTGAGATGGAGTTTCACTCTTGTTGCCCAGGCTGGACGGCAATGGTGCCATCTCGGCTCACTGCATCCTCCGCCTCCCAGGTTCAAGCAATTCTCCCGCCTCAGCCTCCTGAGTAGCTGGGATTACAAGCATGTACCACCACAGCCAGCTAATTTTTGTATTTTTAGTAGAGACAGGGTTTCTCCATGTTGGTCAGGCTGTTCTCGAACTCCTAACCTCAGGTGATCCACCTACCTCGGCCTCCCAAAGTCCTGGGATTACAGGCATGAGCTACCGCACCAGGCCATGAAAACTATTTTCTATTGAAGAATGCAGAATAAACGATAATAGAAAAATCACCATTTAATGACTCACAGCAATAACTGATTTAGGCAAGAGTCAATAAAAGACACTAAAATGACTGAAAGATTCTTAGGAAATGGGAAATGCTGAAATCTAGAAGACACTGCCTTAACCAAACTATTAAACCAAACCTCACCAATAACAGGACAGTTGACACTGTGCTCCCCTGGTGTGGCTCACTGAAGACAATGCTACCTACTTCACTTAGGAAGCACTCCGGCCAAAAAAAAAAAAAGTAACTAGAGTGTAATCAGGAAGAAACTCTCAGCAGACCCAAATTGAGAAACATTCTGCCAAAGAGTTGGCCTCGATTCTTCAAAAATGTCAGTGTCTGCCCTGGGGGCTGTGACTCACACCCATAATGCCAGCACTTTGGGAGGCTGAGGTAGGCATATTGCTTGAGCTCAGGAGTTTGAGACCAGCCTGTACAACATGCTGAAACTGCATTGAGGTGTGACCATGTGCTAGCAGCCCTCACTCTCGGCACCTCCTCGGCCTGGGCATCCACTGTGGCAGCGCTTGAGGAGCCCTTCAGCCCACCAATGCACTGGGGAGGTGTGGAGGGAGAGGTGCGGGCGGGAACCGAGGCCGCGCGCGGCGCTCACAGGCCAGCGCGAGTTCCTGAGGGTGCGGGTGCAGGCGCAGGCCCCACACTTGGAGCAGCCGGCCGACCGGCCAGCACCGCTGGCCCAGGGCAGTGAGGGGCTTAGGACCCGGGCCGGCAGCTGCGGTGGTTGCACCGGGTTCTCCAGCACTGCCAGCTCGCATGCACTGCTCTCGAATTCTCGCCGGGCCTCAGCCGCCTCCCCACGGGACAGGGCTTGGGACCTGCAGCCCGCCATGTCCGAGCCCCCACCTCTGCGGTGGGCTCCTGCGCGGCCGCCACCCCCTGCTCTGCGGCCCGGTCCCATCAACCACCCAAGGGCTGAGAAGTGCAGGCGCACCGTGCGGTACTTGCAGGCAGTTTGGCCTATAGCCCCGGTGCGGGATACACTGGATGAAGCCAGCTGAGCTCCTGAGTCTAGTGGGGACTTGGGGAACCTTTATGTCTAGCTAAGGGATTGTACACAGCTAAGGGATTGTAAACGCACCAATCAGCACTCTGTCTAGCTCAAGGTTTGTAAATACACCAATCAGTACTCTGTATCTAGCTAACCTACTGGGAACTTGGAGAACTTCTCTGTCTAGCACTCTGTGTCTAGCTAAAGGTTGTTGGACGCACTCAGCACTCTGTGTCTAGCTCTGGGTTTGTAAATGCACCAATCAGTCCCCTGTGTCTAGCTCAAGGTTTGTAAATACACCAATCAGTAGTCTGTATCTAGCTAACCTAGTGGGGACTTGGAGAACTCTGTCTAGCACTCTGTGTCCAGCTAAAGGATTGTAAACGCACCAATCAGCACTCTGTCAAAATGGACCAATCAGCTCTCTGTAAAATAGACCAATCAGCAGGATGTGGGTGGGGTCAGATAAGGCAATAAAAGCAGGCTTCCGGAGGCAGCAGCGGCAATATGGTGGCATTCCTTTCGCACGTTGTGGCTGCTTTGTTGTTTGCTCTTTGGGTCAACACTGCCTTTAAGAGC